AAAAAATAATGTTACAGGTTCTTAACGAGGGAGGGGATGATTTGCTGAAGAAGCCTTTCTGAGCTAAAAGGGTGATACTTTTGTAAAGATACGGCAAGTTCATGCTGCGTTCCTTGTGTGATGAGCTTCTCAACAGAAAAGACACAAAAACATCTCTGCTGGGTTTAATTGCCTGACTATTAAACTTATAGGGTTGCATTAAGACAACAGGTCTCCCTCCCAGCTGCCCACGTCTGCAAGGAGACATAATAGGTGTTATTTATATTGTACTTAAATATTTAATTTTCTTTGTAAATAAAAGCTTCATGCCTCCCTTTGAGCCTGCTCTTACAGCCCCAGACTGCAGCAGCTACAAAACTATTAGTTCAAATTAACTTGGCGTTCAACACACATTTGTATTACTTCCATGATTTTTATTGTGTTTTTAATTATTATTTTTTCTCACAGTTCATTCATCAATCATATTTACAAGCCCATTGTCGGACCGGCTGCCAGTGGAGCGTTCTCACACATTTCAGCACACAGAAACTGCAAACCAGGGCAGCTCTGCTCAGATCTCTAATATTTCTGAGGAGCTGGAAGGTGCTGACAGCTCATGGTACGCCTGTCCCAAGCAAGTGCAAGTGCCTCGACGTCCATCTATCTGCGGTTACTGCTGAGGGGTAAAATTACAGAGCACATTTGCCCTCTGCGAAGGAATCCTCCCTGGAGAGGTTAGAAACTGGGAATAAACAGCGTGCTGCAGCTGGGGGTCTGGAAAACGAGCTTTAGAATAATCACACAAGCGGACTTTTTAATTGAGCCTTCTGCCACCACTGAGCCTCTTGTGACAGCAGCAGGAGCAGCTTAGGGATGGCAGACGTGGGCCTTGGTTTTGCTTTGTGCTTTGCTGTTCCATATCCTCACTTATTTTTTCCTTAAAGCATGCACCTCAGGCTGGAGAACACTAGGAAAGAACGTTACTCCTTGGAATTTCAGAGGAGGGTGCTTTTCAGGGCTGCAGAAGGAAGCAGCTCTGAGCACCCAAGCCGGCACATTGTCAACACAGCCCTGCTTGCCTCCAAGCCCATTGTCAACCAAAGGAACTTGAAAATTATGGCCATTTATCTACCCCCTTCTTTACCCCCCACCATGCTTCTTTTGGCAGGGCAGCTAAGCAGTTTGCATTGTTTCAAGCTTAATGCTTGCAGATGGTTTTATTTAGAATTTGTTTTATTGGTGAAACATGCTTCCTCTGTTTATTAAATTACGCCTACTTTTTGTCAGTCAGTATGCTGCCCTCAGCCTCATGGCACAGTTGGGGGCAGAGCTCGGGGTAGTGCTTGTCGTGGCATCGCAGTCTGATGGGCCGCTTTACGGGGCGGTGGGCTGAAAGCAGAGAAGCTCTGCGAGCACAGAACCTCGCGTACCCCGCAGGACGAGACGACACTGGGGCGCGGGGGCACCCACCGCCCGCCGGGGGCCGCTCCGAGTCGCGCCGGGGCCGGCGGAGCAGCCCGGGGCTCGGCTCCCCGCGGCTCCACAGCCCGGCCCGGCGGCAGGTGCTAGCGGTGGCCGCTGCGGGAGGGCGGCGCGGGGCCAACGCGGGGCAGCCCATCCGAGCCGGGCCGGGCCGAGCCCATGAGCCGCGGGCTCCCCCCGCGCCCTGCCCGGGAGCCGCTTCAGTCCTTTAAAAGCCCCCCCGAGCCCCTGCCCGCCCGGGGCGGCCACAGATCGCCGCCGGCTCCGCGCGGAACTCGCAGGCTTCGGAGCAGGAGGTGGGAACCGGGGGCGGTTTGGATTTCGCTGGTGTTGTTTTTCTGCTTTGTGCGGGTTTTGTGGCGGTTGTTTTTCTGTTGTTGTTGTTGTTGTTGTTGGTTTTTTTCCCCTCCCTCCTCCCGCTTCCCCGCGGGCGCCAGCACCGGGCGGGCGGTTGCAGGAAGGCGGGAGCGCGGCGGCCCCGGGTAGCCCCAGCGGGCCGGGCCGGGCGGGCCGGCGGCGCCTCCCCCCGGTTCGGGGGGTCCCCGGGCTCGGCCCCCGAACGCCCCTCTCTTCCGTTCTCCATGTCATTTCCTGTGCTAATAAGATGGTGGTCACGGCCGGGAGGGAGGGAGCCGCCGCCGCCTCCGCCGAGCCCGGCCCGGCCCCGGGACCCGTCCTCGCCTGCGACTAGCGAGCGGGGCCGGCGGGGCGGCGGGGAGGCAGCGCGCAGTCAGCCGGGCCTCCCCGGGCGGAGCGGGTCCCCGGACGCCGAGGCGGGGCCCCCCGCGCCCGCAGCGCCGAGGTGAGTCAGCCCCGCTGGTAGCCAAGGTGGCCACGAAAATGGCTGCGGAGAGCGGGCGGGGGAGGGCGGGGGGGAGGAGGGAGGCGACGAGGGGGCCGGGCGGCACGAGGGCCCCGCCCGGGGGTCGCGCCGGAGGGCTGCGGGACGGGGGTGTTCGCGACGCCCCGCGCTCCGGTGGCGCCCCTCTCCCCTTCGCCCTCCCCCGGCGGGACGCGTCCGGCCCGGCCCTGCCGCTCCCCGCCGCGCCGCTCCCGCCCGCACCGCGGCGGCGACTGTGCCCGCCCCCCCCGCGCGGTGGGCAGCGGGGCCCACGAGTGACGGAGCCCGCGGCCAATGGACGGCGGGGGCGGGGCGGCGCGGGGCTCTCCCCGGGGGCGCGGGAGCCGGGGCCCGGCTGGGTCGGGCGGAGCGCCCCGCGGGTGGGGCTGGAACTTCTTCACGGCGCGGGGCAGGGCTGGAAGTTGGAGGACCGTTTCCAGCCCCGCTCGTTTACGTCGGGCGCGGGAGATCTGCTTGCGGTCAACTCGCCACGCACCCTTGCTGCGTTCAGCGTTTGTGGAAAAGCTGTCTGCCCTGCCTTTAACGCTGCGCCTCTTTGCCTGGATCCTGCGCGGTGGGAAGTGGAAAAGTTGTCATAGTGCTGCTCGCCTCAACTAGTGTATTTAGTCGCATGAAAAACTTCACCTGGTCTGAGCCCTGCCAATGTTTCAAGCGCTGCTTCCTCTCTTTTTCAGTTGCTACGTGTTTTTGGCTTCTCCACAAACACTCCAAAAGCACCCAATGTTTGGAGCCACAAGGAAATACGTGTCTCCATTCACTGCGTGTCCCAGAGGGGATTCTAGCTCTGCTCCCCCTTGCAGATCCCCAGCTGTGTACACACAGCCTTGCTGGTGCCCGTGGGCAAAGCTGTTGGCTTGGCACTGCTTCCTCTTCCCCACAATTAATGTCTTTCTCTAGCACCAGGAAATACAGAGTAGGCAGGCCAGTTTGGGCATTGCTTTCTATGCTGTAGGTAGCAAGGCATAGCTCCAGGCGCTGTGTGCTGAGCAGCCCCTGTGTGCTGCTACTGGGACTCAGTTCCCAGTGAGGCCACCTGGGCCAAGTTTCAAACCCCTAAATTTCCCCTTGTGCAATGGCAAGTTCTATAAGCAATGAAAGTGGAAAGGGAAATGACTATTTAAGCTTTCTGATGCATTGTGTATAAACCCGACAATGGAAGTGCATCCCTGATGCGGGCAGCGCATTCTTATTTTTGAGTACAGATTGTAATCGGAGAGGAAGTTCTGGGATGGTGTGTGTCTGCTCCTTGCAGGGAATGCTGCAATCAGTCAGAGATGCTGCATCAAGGCAGCCCGTCCTGCTGCAGATGGGCTGTGCTGGCCATGCAGGCTGGGGCTGGCTGGTCTCACAGGCAGGGGATTTGAGGTAGCAGCAGGAGATGCTGGAGTTCAACCTGGCACACCAAATGCAAAGCATAGCACTTTAATAAGCCGGCTTATGGGGAATTCCTTCTCACTGTGAGCTTTGCCAGTTGCTGGTAAGAATAACTTGCTCTTCCTTGGCCACTGGAACATGCCTCCAGTTCGTGGCATCAGAACTGCATCTTTGAAGTGTCTGTTGCTGGTGTGGTGTTGGCATTGGTGTGAAGGTTTGCATGAAGAAACTAAACGTTGTTCCAAAGACAAAATGATTGGGGTTTTTGGTTGATAACCAAGTAATAACACTGACATCTAGAATGAAGAGAGAGGCTGCTAGAGTTTGGCCTGGGGGATTCAAGGCTGAATAACGGAGAGGCAGTGACTTGTTCCCTGTGGTGTGAGGGCTGGTGGATATTTCTGACACTGCCTTAGCCTTGAGAATGTGTATCTGTGATCTACGAAAAACAGGTTTTCATAGGATAGCCAAAATCTGGCATTCTAAGGGATGTGGAGGCAACTGGCTTCTTTTCAGCCCACACCTGGGTAGGCCAGATGTGTGTCCTTACTGCATCATGGAGCTCTCAGAGCAAAGGTCCCTCTGGCCCCAGCGCTGTGGTGAGGCAGGGCTACACAGGTGGCAAGGGGCCACAAGGAGCAGCACGTGCCACTGCTGAGTGAGGCCTGGGGCTTCTTGAGGAGTCCCTCCTGTCATTTCTCTGACTTCTGCAGTATTTCACAAAGTCAGATGGCTTTTAAGCCTTTGCCATTATATTTCTTGGTCAATGCTGTGCTTGTGAGAGGGAAAGCCCACATCCCCAGGAGCTGTTGTTCAAAGGGCTCCTCTGTCCATAGCACAGGGAGGAAGTGCTTCAACCTTTCATGCCCAGAACAGCTTCTCTGCAGTCAGAAGGTAAAAACATTCTACCTATAATTCAAGGTTTAAGCTGTAATCTGCAGGAACTGGCAGCCTCCAGAGAGGGATCGGTAATGCATACTGCAGAGCAGCATTTCAGCACAATCCCTCAGTCACAAACAGCCATCAATAAGGGGCCCATCAGAAGGATATTATAAGCGAAGTCATCCTGTTTGAGCACACTGACAAACAGTTTCATTTTTCTGCCCCTTCCTTCTCTCCTCCTTAGGCTTTGGCTTTTCAGCCAAGGTAGTTTTACATCTGTCAATTGCACTGGAAATCTAGTTTGTTAGTGGACAAAGCTCATCACGTCTCACACACTGGTAGTCGTTTTGTGATTTTGCATTACCCCTGAGAAATACATTTTAGGAACTTGCATGATAATTGCAGTTACTGGTGAAGGAATAAAGGCTGGTGCAATGTTAGTATGGAGGATCAATTTTAGAAAAGACGTAGATGTCTTGGGCTGAGGCTGATGGAGAAAGGATTACCAAATTGTGGTGCCTCTGTCAGAAACAGGTCCCATGGTGCTGCGGGAAGGGTTCACCAGTGGAGGGACAAAAATAAGCATCTGTGACAAGGCTGAGCTCCTCTACACTGCCAGCAGCATCCTACCTTGCTCCAGGAGCGCATGTGCATGCAGGTCCCAGGTGAGCCCTGCCCAATCTTCATGAGTGCAAGTTGGAGTGCTGTGGGCATGCAGTGTGTACTGGCACCCAGTGACCTCTGTTTTAATATGTATCACGTTGAAGGCCAGTAATTGGAGCTGGCGTTAGTCAGGGACATCAGCTATTTCCAGGCTTGAAATGTTGTCCAGTGCTTTCCCTCTCAGTACAATGAAGCTTTATTTTGAAAATGTGTTGTATAAACTATATAGTAATAAGTTGAGTGGGTTTAAATGCAGTCCTACAGCTAAAAAGCTGAGCAGATGGCTTGTATGTGCCATCATCCCTGAAAAGCATCCTGATTTTGCTTGGGGCTACCTTTTCCCTCCTAGCACAATGCTCTTGACACCTTTCATTCAGATAACCGTTGGCATCCCCCTATCACTGTACTTCAGGTATGGTACTTTGGTAGGTTTTTGTTCCTGTGTTTTTTCCTTCCAGAACTGCTAGAGAGTACTTCATGTGATCTGCTGTTTTCCTTAAACTGGAGACTTATTGTTTGGGGAGACTAAAGCAGATGTTAAACATGCCACAGTTTGCAGAGTCCAGTCTTTTCATCCATTCAGTGGAAATTAATGAAAACACTTGGAAACTGTCTGAAGGGAAAACCAGTACTGATGACAAACTTTTGTGAATAGTAAAATACATTCTTGAGTTGTTGTGTATTTGTCTACGCATGCAGTGTTTGGTTTTGCATTTTCTGAGCCCATAACAAAATCAATCAGCTTCTGAAGAATAGAAACTTCTTAGTTACTGATTTTATTATTTTTTTTTAATTCCCTTTATGATTGAACAGAAAAGTTTCATATGTATAGCATATGGATAAGTTGCTCTGTTCCTCAACAAATATCCTCTAAGCCGAGTAGAGTAGGACTGGGTGATGGGTGCAACAGAACCTTGCAGAACCTTGCCAGCCAGCACTGCATTGCCATTGCAATGACAGCACCTCCATAAAGGTGGATCCGCTTACTGCATGCATCTCCTAGATGTGTTGAGAGCTAGCACCAACTAAATCAGAGGTTAACGTGCTCCTCAGGTCTGATGGACTTAGCTGTCAGTTCTGTTTCTCTTTAACCAAGTCTCATTCTGCAGTCAGGTGTTGAAATGTTGCCCTTGATCTCTCTTGGGATAGTCAGTGAATTTTTGTAGTCTCCCTGACTTGCATGCACGAAGTCACTGCAGTGTGCTCGCTTTTCTTCTTGGCCTGGAACTGAATGAGTTCTTGTGTGCTTCCACTAAACTGCGTTTTACAAATGCCCACAGTGTAAAGATTAGCTGTTTCTGTGCAACCCAACACCTTTATGCCGAAGACGCACTTGATGAGGGGGTGTTGAAGGGATGGACCAGAGGTGCTTGGTTGCTGCTGGAAAGTTTTTTGCTGCATTAGGATATGTGGGGTCTGAACACCCCTCTCTGTATGGAAGGGAATGTGCGGATCAAGTGATGGTGGTGGTGAATTCAGCACACGGATATCTGATTTCTTGGCAGATCTGACACTGGGAGTATCTGGACTGCTGCCTGCACCAAGGAAAGGGGTCGGGGTGACCCATGCTTGGCCAGTGCTCGTCCAAGCCGTGTAATATGAGCCCCTAACCTGCAGACAGATTTACCAGCCCTGAATAATGTCTGTTGTGCTGCAAGATCTTATCTCCCTAATAGTCTGCAAGAGGGTACAAATGAGAAGAAATAAATATGGCTCTTGCTTTTGCTTTCCCTGCCTTTGTAGAACAGTGGTTTGTTCTCATTCTCCCTGCTGTGTTCCTTAGTGCTTTCCAAGGGGTGAGCTAGTTTGTTGGAATTTTAGGACCAGTTAGGACCAGATTTACTCCTACTTTCTTGTTTTTCACCCACATAACTTGGGGGTATAGGAGGAGGAAGGTAGAACCTATTGGAAGAAAGAAACCACTTGCTGTGTCCTGTAGCTCAGGTGGTTTGAAACTCCAGTGAGAGACACAGAGGAGCTATTGTGTAATGTCATTCAACAGAAATGAACAGGCACCAACTGGACAAACGATACCAAGTTTTTTGTGTTGGTGTTGCATCAGGACCACTTGCATGGAGGGGTCAATATGCTCTGCTGCCGAGGCTTTGATACTTGGCTCCTGAAGCCTCGAGTTGGGATGCTGGGAAGGGGCCACCCTGGAAGCCCTAGGGCCTGATGGAGGGCTGAGGGTGTCTCACCTGCCTTCAGGGCAATGAACTGAGGGTGTGTTCTGTAGGCAATGCCAGCTGCACAAAAAAACCAATGTCACGTGGCCATATCAAGGGTGGAATTGTGGTTTGTGCTTTCCTGTGACAAAATTTAGGAGTAGTTTCTCAAAAAGCAGTAATGTGTATGAAGACAGAACTGTTCTTGGAGTCGCTGCTGTGTCTGTTTCTGGCTTTGTGCAGGGAAAGGGCACTCTGGTGAGGCACGCTGAACTTTTGGACTTGGGCGGTTTGAATTTCGTGCATTGCTTAGCCACGTGTGTGCAAGCCTTTCTGTGCTGCCCTTCTGTCCCATCCATCACCATAAAACATTCACCAGTAGGAGAAGAAGACAGAGTACCGCAGGTAGCAGAGGAAAAATTAAACCCTTGAGCTTCTCTAGAAGTGTTGAGTGAAAGTCTGTGTGATTGTGAGGTGCATAGCTCTACGGAGGGGATAATTTAGACTCTAAGGAAATGTATGTGAGGCTGATTGCTGGCCTGATGCCAGTCACTGAAGGGCACCGGAGGCTGAAATGCCGGGCAGTGCTGGTACTGCTGGCACTTCAGTCCGTGACGGTTGGGTTGCACGAATTATCTCTCTGCCTTCCAGCTAATTTTATCCTGGTGATTTTTCATGAATCATTTCCCATCTCTGTGGGTTAGAAATTAAAGTGGAAGTATGCTAGCCAGCATAGCCACATCTGCTATTTAGAAAGCAGTGTCTGGGGTTTGCTTCCTGCCCACCCCCACACCTTCCCTTCCCTTTCCCTTTTTTTTACCTCCACCAGTGTTAAATGTATTGAAGCACCAGCGTGACCGACCCATGTAGGGCAGAGGCTGGCTGGAGCGGCTGGCCTGCAGCGGGGCCCCAGGCTGGCAGGGCCTGGCAGGTGGCTTAGTTTTCTTCTGCGTGCCTTGTGGAATGTTGATGGACCTCTTGTAAGGGTCTGTTCCCTCTCCCAGCATAGAGCTGTGGCCTCGCTTCAGACTTTCCGTCTTTCCACCAGTGAGAATAGTAGAAGATCATCTGAGCATGTTCCTCTGAAGCCAAAAAAACATTAGATTAATGAGCGAGTATCTGGAGCTTGTTGATGTTCATTTTTTGTCTCTCTTCACATATTGCAGAAAGTCCAAGAGGCTGGAAGGGTGGTTTGGTGGGACAGTCCTGAAAATGGCTGTGCAGATGGGCAAGGAAATGATGGCTTGGGTGGCATGGCATCAGACCTGGGTAAACGTGGAGTGATTAGTGCTTGACACTCATTGTTATGGAAAGTGTCTTACATTTCTCAAACAGTATTTTGTTCTTTGTGAAGCTTACTGTTGATCTAAAGAAAGTTATGTATATATGATGTACTTAGATTTGATACAAGTTAATTCAGTGCATGAGAACTCAATTAATATCTAATGTTGGAGTAAACCAGTGAAATACAAGTGGCTTAGGAGCTAAAGGTAGTGACTGATAGGGAGTCGGCATCCAATACGTAAACTGAAGTGGTATAAACAGTGAGGAGGGTGAAGGATGCTCTGAGCTAAAGGACAGTATTAGTGCATAAATAAATCAGCAGTGGATTAAGATGAGTGTACAAAGTAGTTTTTCATCTCTGAATGATCAAGTCTCTGTCATTGCCCTGTTAGATGAGGGGAGCATATAATTGAGCTATTTTAAGCTAGAGTTTGATCATTACAGAAGAGTCTTTGCAATACGATATGTAGTGCCTGCATTTTTAAAGAAGTAGGCTTGATGACCCTTCCCTTCAAGTGAGGACAAGAGAAAAGCCAGTTCTGTTTGACACCTATTCCGTGATGTAGAAGAAAGTGTGACTCACCATTGGTGAAATGTGTAGCTGAAATGTGTTTGGTGATCTGGAACTATTTATGGGAACAGAACAGCTATGCTATTAGTTTTGGTAGGTGGACCTGCTGAGCTAACTCCACTTTTCTGTATGAGAATGGTTTTATGAACTTGGAGAGGGTGACCTGAGCATAATCTGTGAAACTGTCACTTACAAGACATAGGGGTCAGAATGGACAGGCAGCTCTCTGAAGCTTTCTGTACCAGGTTCTAGCAGAAAAAGACTGCAGTGAGTGTGGACATGCTGGCAGGGATGTAATAATGAGTAGGGTCAAGGAGAAAGTTTTATGTCTGCAGTCTTCATGTTTATTTCAGATTCAGCCTTACATCAGTGTGGCTTTCTGATGCCAGCATCTTAAAATAATGTAGGGCAAATTGGAACAGTGACACAGAAGATCAACTGTGCTGCAAAAGGTCCTGAGGGGAGATATATCCAGGGCTCAGTTCTGTATGTTTTTGTTCAACACCACTGTCGCCATCTGAACACCTTTGAGTAGTGCCTTAAGGAACAACACTTTTGACTGTCACTTGATGGAGTTCTTGTTCTGCCCTTGGGGAGAAAAATGCTGGTGGAAAGGCATCTTGTTTTAGTACTGGATTTTTCTTCCTGTTTAACTTCGTGTATGTAGGTGTGTATTTTTGTTGAGGAAGCCAAAGGCAAACAAGTGCAACTGGCAATCCTGACCAAAGATGGTGAGGTTTCTTACAGCCATTAACTCCAAAAGTAATTCTCTCCCTTTGCTTAAAGCAGTCTCTCGTTATGCTCAGTGCTTCAGTCAGTTCCACAAGGTTGCAGGGCACTTTAAAATAACTGCTGACTGGTGCCCAAAACTGAAGAGATTCATGCATAACTTGTCAGCGACAGCAATTAGCAGTTGAAATGAAATTCTCTTGGCTCCTCTTCCCCTTTCTTGCTAGCCTCAGAGATTTTTGTATAGGCTTTA